AACTACGAGAAAGTTCACAACGAGTTTTTAGCCCCTTCTTTGGTTTGTACCAGTTTTTAGCCTATACGAGAAAGTTCAAAATTGATTCTTGAAGATTGCTATGTTCAAGATTCTCACCAATAACAGCAGCCGCCGACATTAAACTGATTCTTGAATAGCAGTCACCGACATATTATCCAGTTGGTTTGTTCTTGAATAAAGACGATGGAGTTTGGGGCTGAGCAACTTGATTTTCTGTTAATATAATTCAATGTATTTTCATGTATTTCATTGTATTCATTGTCTCTTTTTTTATTGTAATTCATTGTGTCTGGTTGTATTCCATGTATTTCATTGTATTCACTATCTTTTTTTTCTCATTGTATTTCAATGTATCCCGCTGTATTCTATGTATTTCATTGTATTCACTGTTTCGCTATATTCCATGAATGTATTCATAAGTTCTTTTTAATTAATATAATTTATATATTCAGATGTATTATATAATTTCTCTGAAGATTGCTATGTTTTTGGGGTATTTTTCGGTTGAGAATCTTTTTTATAACTGAAAATACAAAATTTGTGTGTTATAATTGAGTTTGTTGAGTTATATTAGGAGTCTATTATGTTAATTGATTCACTTTCCGTTTTAAAAATAGTGTAATCCCCTATTTCACGTCGTGAATACAGTCGAATACAATAATCTGTCCAGTTGTAATCCCATATTTCACTCCATGAATAGAGTCGAATACACTCGAATACAACAACTGGTTAGCTGGACTTCCCTGATTCACGCCTATTTTTGCTACTGTATTCATGAATACAATAACTTAAATACATCAAATACATCTTATAACCACATAAAAGGTATCTATAATCCGTAATATAGCAAATGATATCTATAGATGGCTAATTACTACTAAAAGATAGTGCTTTAAGAAAATTTTCCAAAAGAAAATAGTATTGGCACTATCTTGCGTTAAGCTTGAATTGGTGCAAAATATTGAAGCTAATCCATAAAAAGTCAAAATCTACCTTGTTTAAATTTTTGCCTTAACGGAAATTAATCTGGCATGATTCGAATTTTTAACTCATTTGAAAAGTAACAAGTTAATTTTTATTGAGATTTTTACATTCCTATGCCACATAGGAAACCTTATTACCCTCAATGTTTAAGGTTTGACTTAACTACACTTAGTATACCAAATTACCAATTCTATACCATAATTAATTAAGGGTATAATTAATTGTACATTTTTTACTCCTTAATTAAAGGAATCTGCACGTTTCTCTCTCCTAACCCCTCAGTCTCACCCACGTTTTACCGATACCCACGTTCTTTTTACCATTTTCCATCTTCTGAAACCAAATTTTCCCTCTAAATTCACAGAAAATTGAAGAAACCCTTCAACAAAGTTGGTTCCCCATTTTACTCCAGCTGAAGTTCATCAATGAAGAACAACAAAGTTCATCAAAATTGAAGTCAAATCTTCAAAGTTCATACACACATTTACCTTCAGCTTCAAATTTTCTCAATGAAGAAGAACAAACCTTCAAAGAGACAAGAGAGCAGCAATTCCACCATTGACAGCCATTAAAAAGCTAAGCTTTGAATTCAAATTTGTTTTACAAAAATCATTATTATTTTGATTGAGTGTGTTGAAATAATTAGGGATATGTTTTGGAGTTTATATCTCAATTTTGAGGGTTTTGGTGAAGATTAGACTTGGTTTTGACTGAAATTCAGATTGAAAGAAGAAGAAGAAGAAGAAGAAGAAGAAGAAGAAGAAGAAGAAGAAGAAGAAGAAGAAGACATATTGCAGAAATTGTAGATAAATTATGGACTGTTTTTTGCAGAAGATTTTGTAGAAGTTTTAGTCGTTTTGGATTTGTGAAAACAGAAAACAATGCATCTACAATCAGAATACAAATAATCTACAATTTATCTACAAAATATCTACAAATTGGATACATTGAATTTTAATATCCCCAATTCTCATTTCAGTTGTAGCATAATTGGCATTTTCGACATAATTGCATTTTTTGCAGAAGATTTGTAGAAGTTTTAGTCGTTTTTGATTTGTGAAAACAGAAAACAAAGCCCCTACAATTAGAATACAAATAATCTACAATTTATCTACAAAATATCTACAGACTGGGTACATTGAATTTTTATATCCCAATTCCCATCCAATTGTAGCGTAATTGTGATTTTTGATATAATTACGTTTTTTCAGAAGATTTGTAGAAGTTTTAACCGTTTTTTATTTGTGAAAACAGAAAATAAAGCATCTACAATCAGAATACAAATAATCTACAATTTATCTATAATTTTTGCAATATGTCTTCTTCTTCTTCTTCTTCTTCTTCTTCTTCTTCTTCCTCTTCTTCGAGTTTCAATCTGAATTTCAGTCAAAACCAAGTCTAATCTTCACCAAAACCCCTCAAAATTGAGATATAAACTCCAAACCATATTCCCGATTATTTTCAACAACACCCAATCCAAACAAATAATGATTTTTGAAAACCCAAATTTGAATTCAAAGCTTTCAAGCCTTTTTATTGCTATCAATGGTAGAAAATATCTGGAAGAATATTTACTTCCATAATTGTAGCGCACCTAAATAGGAATATCTGGAAGAATATGATTTGATCTGATTTACGCCAAATCTTTTTAGAATATTCTGTTCCTCAATTTTAGCTCGACAAATTAGGAAGATTCAGCTACTATTAATTAGTATTTAATGATTGGTATAATAACTGTAGAAAAAATGTGGACAAGACGGGTAAATTAGAAACTATACATATTTTTGATAATAAAGTTTCATATATGGTATAGAAAAAAAAAATCTCGTTTTTATTTGATAATTTCCATTAGTCAGATTATGCAAACATTTTTTCGTTTGCTAATACGAAAAGAGCATAAGCCCAATTTCTTTGTCGGGTCTAATCAACTTCGGAACTAGAACATACTTCCTAGAACTGGGCTTTTAACCAATACGTGCTTAGCCCAAGATCAACAACACAACTTACTCAGATTATTCAAATTTACTCAGATTACTCTTTCTTGTTTTGTAAAGGTTATGTCTGGGAGAAATTTAAAAATAGCCAAATTTATAAGTGGTCATTCAAAAATAACCACAATTTCAAAAGTCATCGAAATTTAATCACTTTTCATGTAAAGATAAAATCGGAACAAAATCTGGAAAATACTCCAGCATAATATACTGGAACTCCACTATAATATACTGGAACTCCAATATATTATACTGAAGCAAGCAAAGTATACCGGTCCAGCATAATACGCTGGAAGTTCATACACAGGTGCACCGAACTCCAGTATATTATGCTGGACCGATCTCTGTTGCAGCAAAATAGTGGTTATTTTTTAATGACTTGGCAAACACTGGCTATTTTTGAATGACTAGTCCGAAAACTGGCTAACCCGTGCTATTTTAACGGATATGTCGATCTTGGATAAGGTGATAGACTATAGGTCTAACACACCCCATGGATTGGGCTTCTTAAGGTTGAGAATTAGTTTTGGGCTTTAAGACTAAGAAAGAGTAACACGGTAAGGGACTAAGAGTCAAAAAGCTGATAAAAAAAATTCAGTTTTTCGGTTTAACCGAAAATCGAACCATTAAAACCGATCACCGAACCAAACACCGAACTTTTTAAAACTAAAAACCGCAAACCGAAACAGAATAAATCGAAATTTTGGGTTCGGCCGATTTTTTCAGTTCGGTCGGTATTATGCTCACCCCTAATCTTCAATGCGAAGAAGGCAGGTACATTCATCAAATTGCTTACTTTTGCCCTTGTTCGTTACACATTGTATAGATCCCGAAGGGATAGCTGAAGTAGAATTTTCACCAAAGAGATTCAAAAATACAAAAGTAGACATGCGAAGAAATTAATGGGATGCAATATATTAACATGATTACACGGAGAAAGAGCTGAACCCTCTTCCGCTCACCTAGCTCTGCCTCTGTCCAGAAGAGACTTCCATTAAACCTCCATTATTTTTTACTCCATCAGCGTCAACAGTTGGTTCTGGTCTTTCAGCCTTCGCGTTGCAGTTAGAGGGTGCAAAATAAAAGTTTGTTAAGAATCAGCGTACGTACAACTAGTGGTTTTTAGATATAATTTTACTGATACCTAAGAGCACTAAGGGGTCGTTTGGTTCGGAGACTAAGCTATTTTTGGGATTAGTTTATGCAAGAATTTATTTATGCATGAATTACTTGTATAGTATACATCATATAATTTAAATTATGAGTTTTCATCTTTTACTTAAAAGGAAATTTAAACTATTATATCCGCTGAGTATACATATAATTTAGCAAATTACATAACTAAAGCATCCTAACAATACGTAGAATTTCCAGCATACTATAACACACCTTATCATGGCTCTTGTCCAACACCTCAACTATTAAATGATCTTCCCAAATGGAAAAATAAAGTTGGAAGGACAGAACGATAAGTTTGAGTTCTGTCGCAGCTATAGAATAATACCAGAGAGTTCGATGTTTTGATTCTTAAGAAAAAGAAAGAAATTTAAGTCTAAAGTGAAAGCGTAATTTTGCCCTTAATTACTTTAATCTATGTATGATTTAATACACGTATTCTTTTACCACATTCTACCCCATATAAGATTGAACATAGATTTCCTCATTAACTTCTGCGGGTATTATGTAAGAAGAAAGAAAAAAACTAACCAAACATTGTGTAAGATATGCTTGATTTTATACGGAGATTAATTTTCCTTAAGACCCAAACAAACAATGTACTATCTAATGCTGGATTTCGTCCCAAACACAGGGTACCATAAAAAGGTCCATAGCTTGTAATTGTAAGCATTTCCTTCTCTCAAAATAAAGGGTGGGTGAAAGTATGCAATGCATCAACGGATAATGTAATGGCTAGGCAATGTCATTTGAGATTGATCAAAGTTCAACAACTGATCATAATGACCTCCTAATCAATCGGTATCCAATGGAATTACTGGAACAGTATGAAATAATGGATGCATTAGTGATTCATTACTGGAAAAAATGAATCAACAAAAGTTATGGCAGAAGAATCCAGAAGAGATAAGGCATTAGGCAATCTGCGAAACGTAATTTAACAATTCAAACTGTGCAATGTACAGATGACACCGAGTATATTATGCCACTCTAGTTACCAACTCATCGACTTTTAATGTATAACATGTTAGTTGTTCCCCCATTAAATTTTCAAGCAAAACTTTATCCTTCATGCATCTTTAAGCTATTCCAGCACTACCTGAACATATCAAGTAATTAGTAATTGCTTCTAGAAACCCATGAAAAGTTAATTAAACAAACCAGAGGGAGAAAGCATACGGAGCTTAACTATTTGGATTTTTCTGGTCGACCAGATGCAGGGGGGAATGTGAACCTGCCTCTATTTTGATTTGTTTCGAACAGAAGTTGCTTCCAAGAAATTCATGCTTTTGTGACATCTTGAATGTGCTGTGAATGGCTTTTGCCTGGAGGAATAAAAATAAGGTCCTCCCAGCCAGAATGTCTCTGACTTATCTGCCACAGGAAATACAGAGAAGCTAAGAGAAGTAAACGAGAAGGGAAGGAGGAGGGTACCATGTAAGATTGGTGTTGTTTTTGCTTAAACAAAGGATAGAATAAAAATCTTTAAGAGTTTAACTCACAGAATATTTCATCTATACACCATTTGAAATTAAAATTTTGGGGATCAGCTTCATCCCCTATAATATACCCCTCCTGCATGTGCGTCCCTTCCCAGAACCGTACTGGCCCAATACCAAACTCAACATAAACATAAAACAATCAAAAAATAAGAAAGAGGAATGATGCCTGTGTTTTTATTTTCCACTTTCTCCTTACAATTTCAAGCAAGGAACTACTTAACAACGAGCAAACATCTTTTGACAGCAAAGACTGCAGCATTTAAATTTTGCATTATCTTAATTCCATCAGAAAAGAATGGGAGAGGGGTTAAAGCTGGTAGATTAGTCATGTATTCTGGCTTTCTCATTATGTTTCTTTCTTTCTCTGAAATCAATAATTACCGTATTGTTCCCCAACAAGTTTCTGGGGGAGACATAATTGATTGATCGATATAACATCAATTATAATTCTGAACTCAGCGGTGCTAAAGTTCATCATTACAAGGTGTGTAGTGCAAGAACAAACATTATTGGCGTAACAGAAGCAAGGAGACTAAGAATTCAAAGTATAATAAATCTTTTAAAATATTAAATCCTAAAAACATAGAAATCGACCAACAACCTACCTCCATTTTTTTAAGGACATCTTCCAAACTCCCTACCTGTTAATGAGGAAAAAGAATATTAGTAAGTTAGCATTAGCTGCTACAGTGCCTTGTTAATTGACAATGGCAGATCAAACAACAAAAAACTTGACGAATGCAGAAAAGCCAGCAAATATAGGCCTTTCATGGACAAGCCTGAGATAGAAAGTCCGGTAGGAATCTTTAGAAAAGAACAGAAACACTTTTCTTTTGATAACTTAGGGAAAAAAATACTGCTAGAAAAGGATGGGCAAATTGATTTTTACATAAAAATGATTTTTAAACAGCACAATGTTAATGTCCTTAGCTCCATTTCCTTCTCATAACTGATGTAGGAAGTTTTGCATTAACGTTATAAATAACTAGGGAAACTTAGCTATATATTTCAAGTAACTACTTGAAAAATAGGACTTTCAACTGTTAATCCTCTCCATTGCATGCTAACTTTACTATGTTATGCTCTCCAATTGGAACCTGTTGCATGTGAATTTAAATTTAAAAATTCTTTCTACACCTTCAGTTTAGAAAGAATTTTCCAGCAATTTTACTTCTATCGGCATGCCTCAGACAAAACATCAACCCCCCCCCACCCCAACCCCCACCCTAAAAAAAAAAGGAACACACTTGTGGAAGTGAACAGTTCAGGGAGTGAAGCCAGATTAATCTAGTGACACGAACTATGCATATAATTATTAAAAGCATCTTTCGAGATTCAGACAATGCTAGGCTTGATAAAAGAAAGATTATGCCAATGAAATTTACTCCAAGAAACTTATTTAAAAATTACTCAAAGACATTCTACATTCACCTTTTACCATTTTTGAACATTCTAAAACTATCTGCACGTCCTATTGGAAAGCAAACAGAAAGAGTGATTATGATACCATAATGTGCTGAGAAACACCTCCTCTAGATGCCCTTGACGACAATTCCTTTTCTATATCCTCCTGTATACCAACAAATGAATTCAAATGATAACCATTCATGAAATTGTTTATATCTTCTGACTGCACAAGATATAATTACATTCTACATTTCAAGATGTTAAACCAACATACCTTTCGAAAGTATATTGGACAGTATCGTCTGTTTCTCTTTTTCACAACTAGGAGGTCAGACTGCACAAGATAAAAAATAGCAAAAGAATCAAGTGGAGTTTAACCATATTCACTGCAGTCTCCACCAATACATAAAATTTCCATCAAAAACTTTGCAGTGAGTGAAGTTCGTAATTCTTAAAAATACACAGGCAGTGTATATAATTCTCAGAGGTTTCCAACATATAGTTGGCAAAGAAGTTTATATTGGTACCTGGAAAACAGGGACTCCATCAAATCCAGTCTTTACATCAGAAGCTTTTAACTGTCACAGAAAAAAGTCAATGTTAAAATGAACAGATCTAGTGCCCATTTGGATTGGCTTATTTAAGGGCTTTTAAGCCAAAATAACTTTTAGTCATTTTGTAGTGTTTGGATAGAGTAAAAAAGTGCTTTTAAGCCCTTGTTTTTAAGCTAAAATGACAAAAATAAGCCAAAACCTAAAAGCTAGAATTCCTAACTTATGGCTTAAAAGCTATTTTGACTTAAAAGCCACTTAAAATAAGCCCATCCAAAACGGGCTCTTATTAAGCACGCATTAAAATGAACATGTTTATGCCAAAGAGGTTTTTTCCTTGTTAGGAGGAGGAGGAGGAGACAGATCACGTGGCAGTGGAGGTGAAGCCATTAGTAATCTATGCATCGCTAGAATCAAAATCTGCTAGGCTAGCAAGCAAGAGCCTACGTACAAGGCATGTCAGTAACCCGAGTTCATATCTCGGGAGGACCTCCATTTTGGAAAAGTTTAGTTTATCAGAAAAAAGAAAAGATAAGGCAAGGGCACTGGGCATGTCAGTGAAATTTAGAATTGGTGGGCTGCAATCAATTCTAGTGCATCTGGTCATCAGTCAAAACTACATGACAGCATACTTTCACTTAAAACTATTAAATGTAGATGAATATATAGTACTTCACTTGCACAACTGGAATAGTAACCCTATGCAATGCTACTGAATACAGAAAAACTACAAGGATCCCGACCCAAAACTTAAGTAAGACCAACGAGGATAACAACCTCTATTGCATTCTGAACTTGAACAGGATCTGGCAAAAATCGAAATGCGATTCCTTCAACCTTCAACATGTAAACCTGCAAGTTGACACAAAACCAAGTAGGTGTAACCAATCAAAACATGAGACTAGTGTCTAGCAACACCTCTAAGAAGTGGAAAAAAAAAATCAGAAATTCTTGAACATACAGATAACTGCAACTAGTTGCAACAGATTACTTAATGTAAACTGGACCTGTTACATAGAGATAAAAAATGTCTTCCATTCATAAATTAGACTTCAATTTTTCCTTTTTAGTTTAATAACTAAAGAAGAGATATTCAATGGGCCTAATAAGAAGTCTGAGGCTCAAAAAGAGTACAACATTGTTTTTTTTTTTTCGTGTGAATAAAGGATATGAAATGTCTGACAACGCATACGCCTTATCTTAAAGATGTAAAAATGTGAGCAAATCACTAAAACAAAGGTAAAGGGAAATGGCTCAGAATTAATTGTTAACTCTGCGGAGGCCAGGTAATCCAACTGAGCCTTGGCTCAAGGGGCGCCTTTGAAATTTTTTGCTTAATGCAAAACATGATGCAGAGTCTGTTTGATTCAATCAATCAACTACATGTCATAACCAAACAAGTCAGGATCGGTATCTATATTCGAATCCAATTCTTTTTTTACTAATACAAGATTTAACAACCATCAAATTTTATACCCATTCTTGCAAGAAGAAAAATCTATAATAGGCACAAAATAAGATTCAATATATACATATAACTATACTAGAGACAAAGTTTGTCCATCACTAATACCATACGTATCACTACACTCTCAGAGTCCCCATATTTCGCTAACGTTCAAACTTTACATAGTAAGATGGCATTCTCCATAGAGTAATCCACACATCAAACTTTTTTTTGTTTTTTTTAAATTTTATCCACACATCAAACTTGAACTCCTAACTTATGCAATCTATTTCTATTAAACCTACGAACTTGTAAAAGTTAGTAAAAGAATACCAAAAAGCAGATAGTATATCTTTGAAAGAAAAATTTAAAGCATAAGTACCAAAACATTTACCTGATCAAGTGTCAGTGGAACTACCTTAGCTCCACCTCTAACTTCCCCCTTCCGCAACCGTACCTGAAAAAACTTCACAGTTCATTTCTACGCAAAACTAACCTTCCATTGTATAACAAAAATTTCTATATCACTTACTCCAAACTACACCTCAAAATCGCAAACTAATAAGGTCAACATAACCAGGTCAACATTATTGGTCTTCTTTATCTGCTATCCTATGTATCTATCCTGCTCTATTACATTCTAATACTACTAAATATTTACTACATTGCTTAAAGGCAATCTTCCAACGGTAAACAATATGAAGTCAACAAAAAGTCTATAAAATGAACAAAATATGAAGTGAACCTGAGCGAGAAACGCCTCGGCATCCTCTTGACGGAAGCACAATAATCCGATTGATTTAGCACCGTTAGGGTCCGAAATGAGCACGAATTCATTGTTAGAATTGCTAACAGTGTATACAGATGTTCCAATTAGTGTCTTAGCCACATAGTCTGAGCTCAAACCGGCGTTTTTAGAGACCTTATCTTGACGCTGCGACACAGAAGCGAATGGAAGAGATAGAGGATAAGAATGCGATGCCGGCAGCGGCGGAATAAAGTCGGCGGCGAATTTTGAAGTCAGCCGCTTAGCTTCGTCGAAACGAGTGGTGAGTTCGGCACCGAGTCGGGACCAGTGTTGGTGGACGAAGGTAGAAAGAGAGAGCAGAGGACTACTGGAGGGTCCGAATCCGATTGAGGGTTTGGACTCCATTGTTGTTCAGTGAGAAGGGGGGACGGAATTCGGAGAAGAAGGCTTTCATATTTCAATTTTGGGCTTCAATTCTACTTTATCATTAGGTCCAGTTGTAGTTGGATCCTATGTTTTAAAAGGCGGGGTGTGAAGCGAGCTGTTTTACCTCTAACGAGGCGAGGCGTAAGCCCTTAGACATGGGGCATAAGTCCGACGGATCTTTAAATTTTACTAATTTCAAAAATTTTAAGATAGTATAAAATAAAAAATAATTATAAAAATTACATTAAAATTACAAAATTATAACAAATAATCTATTAAAAATATTTATAAATTACAATTCAACTATAAATAATGCGAAAAGTATGACAATATCATAATATGCAAATTAGCTACAACGTCGTTACAACTCAAACATTAAAAGTAATGTATTCGATACGAAATCTTATATGTATCTCTTAAGGAGTAATGAATCTTGAAAGAATTTCGATATTATAATTTGATATTTTTCTTAAAATACTCCTTTTATTTAATATGCTTTGTATTTGAAAGAAAATTTATATAAAAACATAATTCACAATTTAAATGTGATTCTCAAGCATTGTTCATTTTTAAGTTTCAACAAGTTCATAAAGTGACACATAATTCATCATACAATACCATGATAACTAATTATTTGTAAATACTTACTAATACTGAGCTATTAAATTAATAAGTATTGTATTTCATAAACATGAAAAAAATATTTAGAAAAACAATTATAAAAAAATTATGGACTATAATATAGTAAAGACATACAAAAGTTAATAAATAAATACTTTTTAAATGAAAGATTTATTTAAAATTAACTATCATAGCAGTCTTAGTGGATAACGTGCAATAATTTTTACTTTAATTATGATATAAAATACTCTAAACTTAATTATTTATAATTAGGAAAAAAGTGATTTTGAATAGTCGATGATTTATTAAGAAAATTTGAGGATTTACAAGGTTAGTTACATACAATTGCATAAAGTTCTATTAGGCGAGCGTAGTACGCTGGGCGTTGGGCGTGTCTGGGGCGTAAGCCCCAATGGCCGAGGCATAAGTCTCACGGAACTAAGCCCCACACATAAGCCCAGGGGGCGTTTTACGAGTGCTCCGCCCCGGGGGAGCCCGGGCGAGTCCCAATTCTGCCTTTTAAAACAGAGGTTGGATCTACATAACCCCTCTCCAAAGGACCATCATTGTTTTGTCCACTGGGCTGAGTCAGGCTTTGGGGATTGGGTATCTTAGACAGCAAAATATTGTGAAAAGGAATTTTTACATTCCTATGCCATATAGGAAACTATATTACCCTCAATGTTTAAGGTTTGATATAATTACATTTTGTATACCTAATTACCAATTATATACCATTAGTGGTTTTTAAGGGTATTAATTACACTCCTAATTTAATGATCCGTATATTCCTTCTAATACCACTCCCCCCACGTTTCTCTCTCCAATTCCCACACCCCTACCCACGTTTCCCCCCTACACTCATGATTTCTGTATCAAAATCCCATTATTTCTTCCATAGCCAAGGCACTGTCGGCACCTCTGCAATCTTGTCCCCATGTTTTTGTGCCCGGGGAAGATGAGCACAAGCCTGGTCGATTTGATGGTTATGATTTCGGGTTCCTTCAGTAATATAAGAGGAAAGGAAAAGAGAGCAGCAATTCCACCATTGACAGCCATTAAAAGCTTTGAAGCTTTGAATTCAAATTTGGATTTTCAAAAATTATTATTTGTTTGGATTGGGTGTTGTTGTAAATAATTGGAAATATGGTTTGGAGTTTATATCTCAATTTTGAGGGGTTTTGGTGAAAATTAGACTTGGTTTTGACTGAATTTTAGATTGAATCTCGAAGAAGAAGAAGAAGAAGAAGAAGAAGAAGAAGAAGAAGAAGAAGAAGAAGAAGACGACATGACATACATTATATTGCAGCAATTGTAGAAAAATTGTAGACTGTTGTTTATTTATTTTTGAGCTTTTATGTTTTTGTGTTAAAAGTTTTGATGGGAGCTTATTATTCCACTTCGTCTGTTTTGGAGCTAATTTGTGCAGAGGAGAAGATATTTTTTAAGTTATATATATTGCTATACCTTTAAATTCAAGAAAGTATGGTTGTATTGTATTTAAAGAGGCGTGAATTCGTAGAATAAGTTGAATGTGAGGAATGAGTCAAATAAGACTCATAATGGCTTGTTTTCTACATTTAATCTACAATAAATCTACATATCATTTGAAAAATTAATATGAAAATATAGAATTTCAATGTTTCTACAAATTTTTTCTAAACTGTTCATAACATAATTTATCTTTATTTTCATGCATGTTCGTCTGGAACACTAACGTTACTTGATATGCCAACATCTCCCGTTATAGAGGAATACAACTTATCTGTAATTTTCTACAACTTTCACACATTATTTCCACCCAGTGAAATACAACCACAATACATAAAACTTACATACAAATTTTATACAAAATCTATACAATATGTCTTTTGTATATTTTGTATCTGATTTATACATAGTAAAAATAATTTTCATACAACTAATTATATATTATACAACTTATATACAAATTATCTACAATTTTTGTACATTATTTCTACTAAGTTATATACAATTACAATATAATACCACTTAAATATAATTTTTATACAATGTTGTTCAACTTTCATACAATAGTTAAATGAATAAAAGAAAAATAAATAAACAACAAAATACAATTTATCTACTATTTTTCTACAATTTCTGCAATATAATGTATGTCATGTCTTCTTCTTCTTCTTCTTCGAGTTTCAATCCGAAATTCAGCCAAAACCAAGTCTAATCTTCACTAAAACCCCTCAAAATTGAGATATAAACTCCAAACCATATTCACAATTATTTGCAACAACACCCAATCCAAACAAATAATGATTTTTGAAAACCCAAATTTGAATTTAAAGCTTCAAAGCTTTTTAATGGCTGTCAATGGTGGAATTGCTGCTCTCTTTTCCTTTGCTTTGTATTATTGAAATTTGGACATAATTGCGTTTGATGTAGAAGAATTGTAGAAGATTTAGTCGTTTTTATTTGTGAATTGTAGAAGAATAATCAATTCGTTTTTGAATTGTAGAAGAATAATCAATTCGTTTTTGAATTGTAGAAGAATAATTGCGTTTGATGTAGAGAAGCTAAATTTGAAACGAAACTGACGAAGAAGATTAATATGCGTGATTTGCGTTTGGAAGATCTGGAAGAATATTTAATCCCCCAATTTTAGCGCGCCTAAATAAGGAAGCCTACAGCTACAATGATTCCTTATTTAATGCATTGTCTATATTTTGTAGAAATACTATTAGCATGAAGGGTAGTATGCAAACTATGAACATATTTGGTAATATAGTTTCCTATATGGTATAGGAACGAAAATTTCCCTTGTGAAAATAGCACGGGTTAGCCAGTTTTCGTAAAAAAATAGCCGGCGTTTGTAAAGTTATTGAAAAATAGCCAATATTTTGCTGAAACACAGAAGTTCCAGCATAATATGTTGTATACTCGATTGAAAAATAGCCAATATTCATGCTAATATGTGTGTGTGTGTGTATATATATATATATATATATATATATATATATATATATATATATATATATATATATATATATATATATATATATATATATATATATATATATGTTAATTGTTCACAAACTCCATCTGGTTGGCATTACTTTATGATTGTTTAATTATTTATCAAATTTTACTATATTAGCATGACTTTGTGTTAATTGCATTCGATTTATTTGTTAGATTGTTCACAAACTCTACCCAGTTAGTATAATTTTGTGCTTGTTCAATTGTTCCCAAGTCTACCATATTGGTATGACTTTGTGTTATCTGCAATTGACCTATCATATAAATTGTTCATCAAAGTCTACCAGATCGTCATGATTTTTTTGTATTATTCAACAAAGTGTTCTTCGAAATTACAATACCAATTGGATCAAACCATCCCAAATATATTTCAAGTGGCCTCAAATTTAAAACAAAACCTCCAAATACCAACACAAATGATCCACAACCACCAATTTACTCGAATAACACAAAATTAAGAAGATCCACTTTGTCTTCTTTAGCACTTTCAAAATGGAATTTTGAGAATTTTAAAATAAATTACAAAATCGATATTTGAACTAAAAATCTAAGCATAAATTATCAACATGCAAATAATTTTAACAATAATCGATTATTAAATTCAGTTTCTACCCCCAAATAAGAACTTAAATATTTAAATATTGAAGAACTATGGTGTTCTTGGTGAAGAAAAAACCCTACTTTTGTAATAAATTAATAAACGAAAAATAATATTTAAAGACCACTCCCCTGAGGGATGATATGTGCATTTTACCGGATGTTAATCACATAATTTCTATCATAAAAACATATAAATTATCATATTTTCTCCACATTCTTAACTTTATTTTGCAGGAATAATTATAGAAAACTTGTTGTGCCCAGCATGAAAAAAGAAAAATAAATATTCAAGAAAAATACAACAAAGAAGTGTAAGATCGAGCTATGATTCATTACTGTCGTGACAATGCACCAAGTCTCGATCGGCCATGATGAAATTGACGAAATCTAAACTTAGAATGACAGAGTTCTCATCTCAACATATTCAAAATCTAGATTTGCCATGGAAATCTAGCACCAAATCGAAAAGTCGAATTCTCATCTCTGCAAATGCAAAATCTAGATTTGCCATGGAAATCTAGCACCAAATCGAGAAGTCATCATGAAATTTTCTTATATAAGAAGGTGTTGCTCGATCAGAAGAGGGCATCGGAGTGGAGACAAAGCTTAGAGCTAGAAGTCTGAATCCAAATTCTTAATAAGCTTCTCTGTTTTATTTCTTTCACTAGTATCGAGTTATCTTTTCTTTTAAATCATAATAGTGGCTAGTTGTTGTTTCTAAATAAATTCCAGTGTAAGAAATTACTCTAATTCATGCTTTTAATTAAATAGGGGGAATTCTTCTTCTTGATATTTCTTTCTATTTTCTTATTT